ATTTGAAGAACTTATTTTTTAAATTTAAAAATTAAGAATTATATTCTTACAAATTTAAAATACTTATATATATATATATATATATTATATATATATTATATTATACATATAAGTATTTTAAATAAATAAATAAATAAATATATATATATATATATAACAAAAAATAAAAAGTAAAAATACTTCTATAATATCTTGAGTTATATGTTCAGGTATAAGTTCCAATGTAGTAGTACTATATGGTAATCTTGTGCCCATACATGTATTCTTTTGCATCTCTACACATTTTGCATGCCTATGACAATTAAAGGAATCAGATGGTAATTCTCTTATAGGATACCTGCCCAGCAGGTAACTAGAATCCTTTATTCTATCTCTGGGACTTAGTTCTAAACTTTGTTTCCATGTTTCATTTTCGCCATTCAAATTAGTAGCAAATGCATGTGTTAGTTCTGATGATACTCGATGAAAAAGTATAAAATAAACCAAGAAAAATGTCATCTAAAAAAAATTAATAAAATTGAAATTATAATAAAATATATATAGCAGTATTTTTTTATAAAATTTCATATCAATGCAAAATTCTCCGATATACTATTAACATGTTATTATTAAAAAAAAAAAATCACATATATTGCATCGAAATAAACAATAAAAATATTTTAAGTAAAATTATATACCTTCAGATACATCCTTAAAACTATTGTTGTCTTCGGCGTATGGGTTTTGCCGATAATTCGATACTCTCACCACTAGGTGTCTACTTCTATCTCGCAAATAATTCTTCCAGTCTTCGTTTCTACAAATACAATTTTAAAATTCATCTCCCATGTGTGTATAGCAAGAACCATCGACTATATCCATACTAACGGATTCCCGGGCCAGTCACTATAGGCTAATTATTTCGTGGAGACTACTATATTCAGTCTTAGAGAAGCCCGCCCTCTTCGTTTCATTCGAACAAAGCGTGTCTTGCATCTTCTTCTATGCCCTGTGACAGTTGCATCCAGCATACGAACAGTTCGGACCACACAACACGTTACGTTCTCTGCAGGCCACCCACGACGAACTCGATGAACTTGCTCCATACCTCTTTCCGGTGTTTTGAATGCACGGCTGTATAAGAAGCTTTACAAATAACTCACCAGTGGCAGAACTATCATTAATGCGTGATGATGATCTGCGCATTCAACGCGGGAAATTTTAGAAATAATGAACAAATATTAACAATATATAATATTATATATAATAATTTTTATTAAAATTGTTATAATTATTATTCTATTATTATTTTTTATATTTAATAGTAATTATTTAATGATAATTTTATATATTATAAATTATTTTTAGTATATAGTATAAAAATTGTATAAATTTTAAATTATATAATAAAAATATTATGTTAAAATTAAGTTTAAATTTAGAAACGTAAAATAATATTCCTTCATAAAATTTTTTGTATATATATATTAATTACATCTAATTATTATTCAATAAGCTGCAAGATAAAACGCAAGTCGGTTCATTTACATAATTTACAATATAGATAACAATATATAATTTTTTTAATGAAATAAACAATGAAATTTTTATGTCATTAAGTATAATAAAAATATAATAAAAATATAATGTATATAATAATTTTGTATAAAATTTGATTATTTATCTGTCAATTATTTTTACTGGTGTCGACCTCTGTAACTATTTTCTTCGAACACAGATGTTATAGCATGTGAATTGTCAGAAGATAGTGGCATGTAAGATATTTTCGATGAATAGTTTATTTTTATGAATTTGATAAGTCCATATTACGATTAATATATATTCTATTTCGGTAACGACGTATTAACTCGTATTAACTTTATTGATTTTCTTTATTTGACTTTTATTTCAATGTAACAGGAAATATGATAATTGCCCCTATAGTTGATTAGCTGCTGGTGTTGATAATAACATGCTGTTAATATATGATAAGCCTGTGCCGTGTATGTCTGCATACAAGTTGGAATTAATAACAGCCGAACGATTTTTTGGCAGTCTACGATCAGTAGTTGATAATAAAATAATCCATAAAGTGACTGATGTGTCATAAAATAACCTGAAATTTTCGATTATTTCAATCTTTATTATTTACTTTAAATCATAGAGATAAGAAGGTAAGATTTTTCTTGAATTTTTTGTTAAATTAAAAATGAATAATTTTAGTGAAAAATTTAATATTTTTTATAAAATGCTTTATATTAGAATTCTTTTGCAGTTTAAAATGTTTAAAATCCTTTACTTGGAATTATATTTATTGCTTTTTGGAAATTGTATTGGTGATTATTCAGATTGGGATACAAAATGGCAAATATTGTGTCCTGGTTTATATCCCAGAGCTTTTACAAGTTATACACCCCATGGAAATCTTTCTAGTGGAATATATACCATGCAACCTCATTTAAGTAGTATGAAGCACTGTGTGGCAACATGTTGTACCAAAACCACATGTAATGTGGCTCTTATGCATAATGGTACTTGTTATCATGTGCAATGTGAAAGTTCCAAAATATGTATGCCTTTATATAGAAAAGATTTGGCAAATGAAAATCCTCCAAGTATGATTCTAGTTAAACCTGTGGAAGAAGATGAGATGTGGAGTGATTTATTAGATCAGATGAATGATGATACTGGGTGAGATTTCATATAGAATTTTTTATTATTATTTTATTTCATTAATATTTATTTTAATACTTGTAGAGGGTTTCTTATGGATGGTACAGAAGGAGATCATATTCTTTTTGGTGGATCAAGTTGTATTACTCAAACGAATTGTTTAGAACATGAAATTTGTGTGAAATCTGAAGATAAATCTGATATTGGAATTTGTCAATGTTCTACTGGATTTAAACGTAACATGGCAGGTAATTATATTATCATTTATTAAATATTTTGAAAATTTTTTAATTTATTTTTTAATTTTTAATTTACGATGATAAATTATAATAGGAATTTGCACTTTGATGGAAGACATAGAACTTGGTGTAACACCACAAATGAAAACACAAAATATAAAAGATTCGAGTACATCTATAAAACCACCAATAAAAAGGTTATTAGTCTCTGTTGTTTCAAAAGAAGTACGCTTACCAGAGAATGAAGTAACATTATCTGCCTATACTGTACCAGCAGAACAAAAAAATGAACATTATAATTATGCTTGGAGTCTTTTAAGTCAACCAGATGGTCATACTGGTATAATGACTAATCAAAATCGTATGACTGTAAAATTAAGTAACTTATCTGAGGGTTTATATACTTTTAAAGTAACAGTAAATGGTCCAAATGCCTATGGTGAAGCATATGCAAATGTTAGTGTTTTGCCACGTAAGTTCTTTTATTATATTTATATTTTTTTAAAATTTATAATTATTATAATTTCATAATTTGGTATTATTTATAGCTAAAAGAATAAATCAACCCCCTATTGCAATAATTTCACCTGCTTCGCAAGTTGTAAAATTACCAAATACGGGGGCTGTGTTAGACGGTTCGTCAAGTAAAGACGATGATCGTATTACTTCTTACCGTTGGGAATTACAACAAGGTCCTATTGGATATCATCCTAATCTAGTTGATACACCTACTTTACAATTAGATAATCTTATCCCTGGCAATTATACTTTTAAGTTAGTTATTGAGATTATTTTATTGTCTATTTTTAAAAATATTAAAAAGACAATATTAATTTTAAATTTTTTTTCAGATTAACAGTTGAAGATTCCAATCATATTACTAATTCTACGAGTGCTAATATAACAGTTTTAAAAGTAACTGATTATCCTCCTAGCGCAAATGCAGGCCAAGATATTATCATATATTTACCTCAAAATACATTAACACTTAATGGTAATTTAAGTACAGATGATCATGGAATAGCAAATTGGGAATGGACAAAAAGTCCTTCAGATCAAAACAAAGCAGTAGATATGCAAAATACGAGAACACCGTATTTACAATTATCTAATTTGGAAGAGGGAATGTATACATTTGTGTTAAAAGTAACAGATGATTCAGAACAATCTTCGATAGCCGAGATTCATGTATTTGTAAAACCACCAACTAATAAACCACCAAAAGGTAATTAAAGGATTTTTATTATTTTCATTTTTTAATGAAAAAATTGATTTTATATTATGTAATTTTAAATAGCTGATGCTGGCGAAGATATAACTATAGCGTTACCCGAAACAAAAACTATACTTGATGGTCGTAAAAGTAAAGATGATATTAAGATTGTATCATATCATTGGGAACAAATGAGGTAAATTTAAATTTATATGTATTAATTTATATATTAGTTGTTATATATATTTAATATTATATATTAATTATATATATATAGTTATTATTATTAATTATTATTATTTAATTATCTAATAATGCATTAATAATATTAAATTTTATTGAACAGTGGGCCAAATAAAGCTGAATTCTCAGCAATGAATGAATCAGTTACGAATATAACGAAATTAACAAAGGGTGATTACGAATTTAAGTTAACTGTAATTGACGATAATGGAAATAAAGATTCAGATGCTGTCAAAGTAAAAGTTACACAAAGTATGAATAGAATTTTATCCTATATTTTATAAATTAAATATTTATAATCATTAATTATAATTTAATTAACAAAAAATTAATTGTATAGATAAAAATGCTCCTCCAAAAGCAAATGCAGGTGGGGATCAAGTTGTTGTAGCACCTATTAGTGCATTAATTATTAATGGATCTCGATCAATTGACGATTTAAGAATTAGTGAATGGACTTGGACAAGAGATCCATCTAGTCTTGCTATAGGTACTATAGTTCAAAATACTGACAAATCGCCAATTTTAATGGTAATATTTAATAATAATATTTAATATACGTAAATATAAAAATTATAAATATTCATAAAGAGTATATTTAAATTTCATTTTTAGCTAACAGATATTGTGCCAGGTAGATATGTTTTCAGACTAAAAGTAATGGATGATCAAGGTCTTAATAGTGAGGATACTGTATCTGTGATAGTAAAACCAGGTAAGTGACTTAAGAAAAAAATAAAATAAAAAAAAATATATTTTAATAAAAATTTATTATTATATATATATTTTTTATAGATCCTCAATTATTGCATTTAGTTGAATTAACGTTGAATATTGGAGCAAATATGTTAACAGTATCGCAAAAAAATTCATTGGTATTAAAATTGCAAATGTTATTACGAGATGAAGCATCAATTATTGTTCGAAATTTAAGAGCAGAACCACATACTGGTAGAGCTGTTTTAATTTTTTATGTTGAAAAAAAAGGAAAAGTTACTATGCATGGACCAGAAGTAGTTAAACGATTAAAAGAAAAATTAAGACAAGATTCAGGTCTTCTTCAATTATCTGTGGCAAATATTGATACTGCTGTATGTCAAAATAATTGTTCAGGTAATGTTTTATATTATATATTATATTATAAATAATTTGTTATACAAAATTTATCCTTAATAAATAGGTCATGGAGTATGTGATCAAGAAACAAGATTATGTATGTGTGAAGCATTTTGGATGCAAAATTTAATACAGAAATATTTTGGTAATGGTGACTCTAATTGTGGTATGTTAAAATAAATACAATAATTTTGATATAAAAATATCAGTTGATACAAAATAAGCTAATTTGAAATCATATATTTTTTTCAGATTGGAGTATTCTTTACGTAATAATAGCATTACTGTCTCTAGTTGTGTGTTGGGTTGGTCTTATTTGGGGTCTTGTTTGTCTGTGTCAAAGAATATGTATAGGTAAACGTCGTTCACTTCGTACTAAGAAAAAACCACCACGATATTCTCTTTTGCAACCAGAACCAGAAGACGAAAGCAACACATGTATCATATCTTTTTTTTAATTAAATTTCAAAATAATGTTGATTAATAGAACTTTATGATTATTTTTTCTTATTATTTTTTTTTAGTTTCAACTCACAAAATGGTATTATCTGAATCAGATACGGATTCTGATGATGTCTTATTCGAACACCGCAAAGCGAAAAATAGCAGTCAAGTAAGAAATGGTAAATCTCGAAATGGCTTTATTAAAGTGGGTTCTAGAGTGAAAACATGAGGTAACAGCTACACTTGTTAGTGTTGAAATCAATCATTCTTTAAGTAAATTGTAATTTAATTATACATTTCAGGAATATATAAAATATAAAATCTCGTTAAACGACGCACATTCATATATGTTTGGCCAAAAAGAAAAACGAAAAAAAGCATAAAAAATACTAGTCAGTTACAGGGCTGTAATTTTAAGTATGTACTTAACAAGAAAAACATGATTTCTCAAACAGAAGTTGCCACTTGTAAAAAGAATTTAGACGTACTTAAGTATTGATTAGAGAAATAAGAAAACACACGTTCACTTCATTGCATCTTGTTTGATTTATTTGAAATAATATTTATTAATATCATGTATTTGTATTTGAAACTTATTATATATAATTATATATATATACTGCTCGTATAGATGCGAGCGGTACTATAGCACAATGATCAAATTTGATTTGATTACGGCCTTAGAAAATAATTGGAATTAATATTTATATAAAATAATCATTTCTTGTGTCCATATATCCCTTGTATGTAATATTTGCTCTTTAATATATATATCATCGATTTTATTTTTACACTGCATATGAATAAATAATAAAATTTATTGTCTATATAGTTAAAGTAGTAATTAATTTCATTTTTTTTTAATTAAAATTGTATTTAAATATTTTTTAGCAATTATTTTTTATTTTTACATTTTATATCTCATTATAATTATAAGTATATATAATTTAAATAACAAGAAATAATTTTAAGTTTAATATAAAGCTATGATTTAGTTTTGCCTGCACTTGCTTAATGTTATTTTTAACTCGTTACGCTATAGTAAGCGCGAAGTAGTGCAAAAGATACTACGAATTTATTCGTAAGTTTTTACTTGCTTTTTTATTAAATAATCTATTGAAAATTTAATTTTATTAATTAATAAATTTAATGATGTTTATGGACTTCGTTAAGTGTTCGAAATATAAATTTATAAAGAGTTGTTGCAGCAAAAAGTCGTCAATGAATGGTGATAATGAAAGTAATGATTTTCATAATAAAAATTACATGTTTCTTGAGCAAAAAAATAATTTTCAAACTATTAATTCCGTTATTAATGTAAAATCATTATATTCTGTTAAAAATAAATGGTAAATTTTATTTTTGATATTATTTAAAAAATTAATAAATTGATAAAAAATATTTATAATTATTTATAAAAATTTATAATTTTTTATAAGAAAAGCTAATTTTAATTTAGCTTAATTTTGTTTATTTAGTTATGATAATTATTCAAAGTTGCATTTATCATGGACAAATAAAACAAATTCTATACATCAATTTTTTAAATTACCTTATGATATGAAAATTCAAATAAGTGATCAAAATACATAAGATAAAACTTTTTCTTTCCTGGAAGAAAATAAAGATTTTCAATGTCCTAGATGTAATCAAAGTATGCAAGAACCTAGATTATTTCCTTGCTTGCATCCTATATGTTCATCATGTGTTTCAAAGTTAATGAATATATGTAAGTGATTTAAAATTAGAATTTTAATTTAATTTTTTAAAAATGTAATTGATTTTATAATATATTTTTTTATATTTATAGCATTTTCTAAATTTTCAAAAGATATTACAATCCAAAATTTTCAATTGAAAACTAGTGAAAGTAATTATTATGAAACTTGTCCTTTGTGTGATTTTCAATTACCAAATGCTAATTCGGTAATTCCACCTCCACATTATATCCTTCAACATCGTTTAATAATGAATGCTATCCATTCTAAATTTGCAAATAAAATACTTTGTGATATTTGCAAAGATGAAATTGTTGTAAGCATTAATTAATAAGGAATATAAGCATCATTTCAAAAAAAATTTAAATATTTTATAAATATATTATTTTTAATATAATTTTTTTTAAGGCAATGGTTCAGTGTTCCACATGTTTTCACAATTTTTGTTTAGATTGTGATATAGAACATTAACAACAAATTACAATGGAATTAAAACCACTAAAACATTCATTAAGACCGTTATGGGAAGCTACAAAAGTATGACGTACTGTACTTTGTCAGAAACATCCTACATATGCCTTACATTTTTATTGTATTGCATGTCAACAGGTTTATAATTTGCTCTTTTAGTTAATATTTTTCTATTTAATGAATATCATTTTTTAAGTATATTTTTCAGGTATCCTGTGAAGAATGCATATGGAGCATTCAACACAGAGGTCATGCAAGTGAAAATGCTATTGAAGCTGCAAAACAAGTTATTTGGTACTTAACAAAAATGCTTCAAAAAGCAAAAATACTTTTAAATATGCTTTTAATCCAATATGATCAAGATGCATTTTTAAATACTTCTGAAGAAATAAATAATATTTTCATTTCAATGAATTATAGGTATATCAAATATAATAATTTTTTTTATAATTATTTATTAGATAAAATAATATATTATTGTATATATAATAATATTGTATATATAATATACAAATATTATAAATATTTTAAAATTAAATGTATATTATCATAATAAGAAAATTTTAAACATGTATATAGTTTGTAATATAAATTGTCATGTGATGATTATAAAAAAACTAAAAAATTTGATCAAAAATATTTTGAAACTGTCATTTGAGGTACAATTTACTATAATACTGTAAAATATTATATTATATTATAAATTTACTATAAGATATTATAATTTATATTATATTTATATTATAGATATAAAATAAAATATAAAAACCTACAATGAAAATAAAATCTCATTATATAATTTTATATTATATTTATATATTATATGTAAATACTTATGCATAAAAATAATAAAATATACTCATTAGAATATAAAATAAAATAATATATATTTATATATATTTATATTTATTTTTAAATTAATAACATTAAAATAACAATTGATATTTCTGAAAACTTAAACAACATCCATAACAAAAGATTGATCCACAGCAAAACCAATGGTGTATACCAGGATGACCATGTCCACAGCCTCTATATCCACCTTTAATTAAATTATATTTTATATTATAATAGATAATAGCATATAATAAAATTATTCAAAGAATATATGTTACCAGGCATAATCTTCACATCCGCAAATAACTTCTTTCTTACCACCACTTGAACAAAATGTATAACAATGATAGATACCAATATGAGATCTAAATGTGTTCCTTATATCTTCACAGGAATTTTCTGCAAAGTTATTTTTACTCAAAAAAGAAAAATAAATAATATCTTTATGTAATAATATCTTTATGATTGAATGAATATTTACCTAATACATTATTACAAATTCCTAAAGTTTTTAATCTTTTTATTATTATGTTAGCAAGACTCAATATTTCTATATCTGAACCATCTGCAAGTAATTCATTTGTAAAAGAAATAGCATCAAGAAGTTGTTTTGCTCTTTTTAATCTATTAAATTCTTGAATTCTTTTATATGCCTCTCTAGTATGTGATACTGTTGTATTGCAATTCTTTAATTTTGTTTCATCATTGAAAGTTTTATCGAAATATTTAATTAGATTAAATAATATCAATACTTGTAGCTTAAGTTATATTATATAATTATATTATATAGTCAATATCATTTTAAATTTTCCAAATATATATATATAAATAACGATATTATATAAATCTATATTATTAAAATAATATTTGTCATGTGATGAATGTTTAATAAAATTCTTTATTTACATAAAATAATATATTATTTATAGTTTTATACTGTCATTTGAAGTTCAAATATATTATATTTATATTAATATATATATTTCAATAAAATATATTTTCATGAGTTTCAAAGTTATTATTTCTTACGCATAATTACATACACGAATACAATTATATTCTATTATAATTTTATAATTAATACCGTCGTTTTTCACAATTATTAATTTGAATTCCTGTAACATCTTAAAATATATATATATATGTCAGAAGATATTAAAATAAATCCATATTTTATGAAACAGAAATATATTTTATATGCAATATAATCTTTGAATGTTAGGTTAAAACAATACTTTTCTCAAAATATATTTGAAACATAATTATTTTAAATAAAATATTCATTACTTCAATCTATAGGAATTATTTTATAATTTATAATTTATATTCATATATATTCAAAAATATAAATTGTTTTTCACGAAAAAATTATACGAGCATATACTCTAACATTTAAAACAACAAAATTATATAAGTTTTTATAAAGTAAATTATTTAATTTAAATTTATATAAAAAAATGTTAATATAAATAATTTAATATAAGATAGATTAATTATTTTTTTTTNTAAAATATGAATTCATGATTATAATTTTAAAATTTTTGTAACTAATCTTATATTCTTTTATGATTAAAAAATAAATGAATAATTATTTTATAAAATATTATTTTTCGTTAGATTAATATTAAGCAATATTAAATAAATCTAAGCACATAAAATATTTCGTTTTATTATTATTATTTATAATTGTTTGCAATTATAAAATAATTGATAAAATTTATAATCCATAAAATTAAAAATACATACATATATTATATACGTATATATGTTTAATATTAAACATATATACATATAATATTAAAAATAATATGTACTATGTTTACTAATAAAAATAATTAAGAATAATAAGGTACAAGTGTTTTTAATCCTAATATTTTGGAATATTAAGTTACTACTAATTTTTGTATTTTAAAATAAATATAATCATAAATTTAATAAAAAAAATTATTATACACTACAATTAAGTGCAACTCCTAGAAAATCTTCAAATCCAATAGTGATTACTCCTGTTTGTTCATTATCCCTTATTCGAAAAGCATCTGAAAAAAGAAGTTAAAAACAATAATATATAAATTAATTTAATAATATGTACATAAAGTTTAATATTTAACATTTTTATTATTTTAATTTTTTTATTTATTTTTAAATATTTATTTACCTGTAAATCTCTGAATTTGAACACATAATACAATAAATTGATCTATAGTGATATGAGAATGACTAATAGGATCACTTTTTTTTATTAAAAATGAAATGAATTTTGGACTTAGTCTATATCCCATTTGAGTTAAAGCTGCACTTAATTCATTTTCTTGTATACTTCCAGAATTATCATGATCAAAACCACGAAAGACACCTAGCCATGCATTAATATAATTATAAAGAGCTTGAAATTCAAGTAAATCTATTGTACCATTTTTTTCCTTATCAAACATTCCTATAAGAAAAAATTGTCTAATAAATTATAATGAGTTTTAAGAATATATAATATAATATACATACCTATCATAAGTCTACATGCTGTATCTGAAAATGTACCCCCTTGTCCATTTGCCAATGCAGATTTTAATTCTATAGCTGTGATTTTTCCACTGCCATCTCTATCAACAGTACCAAACCATTGTTGTACTTCTGGACTTATTTGTGTTTCAGGATTAGTTGAACCATACATTGTATTCTAAAAATTGATAATATTCACTTTAAAATAATAAAATATGAATTTTTTATTTATTCATAGAATATGTTTCAATGTATAAAATATATTAATTGAAATATAATTACTGGATATGCCATGACTAGTGTTTACTAATTGTTAAACAGTATTATTTGTAAGATGTATTTAATATTGTAATATCATACTATAGGACTACACAATTACAGTATAAAGTATAGATATATACATATATGTATGATCTATTATACATGTTACATAGATAAGTAGTCATTCATACGATTCGAATAATACTTCATTAATTTTTTTATATTTAAAATAGTGTTTGTGTATATATATATGTTTCATATAAAATAAAAAATATATTTTATTTTATAATGTTTTATTGTAATAAAATTAATAATTTTTATAGTAACGCGCTAAAATGACAGTGCCATCTTACGCATTGTTTTGTATCTAATACGATCGTGTACACATACAGAGAGTAGGATATTCTCTAGTATTCGCTTTTGCTTGCTTTTCTGACAGTAGTATTAGATAGGAAAAGGACGACTGTTGAACATTATTTTAATCTTTGTTAATAAGTAACTGATTTTGATCTCACAATGGACGATTTACAGAATTATAAACTGCAGCTTCAACAGGTGAGATTTTTATATTTAACCTATCACAAAGAATGGAATGACGAGTCCATTTTTGGTAATCTCTTTTTTGTTTATGACATCAAAACATGAAATAAAGTTTATATTTTATTCTATTTTATTATTTTAGGTAGAAGCTGCACTTACTACGGATCCTAGTAATGAAGAACTTCTTAAACTAAAAATTGATCTTGAAGAAGTAATAGAGTTGACACATGATTTAATTAAATCACAACAACAAGAAAAAAGGCAAGCCAATGGTATGGATGCTAAAGATCCTATTTTACTTGCAGTTTTGGCTAATAAGTGGAAGGTTGGTGATCAGTGCATGGCACCTTGGAGTGAGGATGGCAAGTAAGTTAAGTTATAATTTATATATATATTTTTGATAAATTAACAGTTATTTATTCTTAATTAATACAATCTTAATTAATAAATATAATCAATAAATGAATGTGTTTATGATAATGACATGTATTTTTATTACATTTTTCTAGATATTATGAGGCAACTATAGATGCAATAAGTGAAGATGGTGTTGTTAATATAACTTTTAATGAATATAAAAATACAGATGTCACTATGCTTAGTCAGTTAAAGTCTGTAGCTAAAAGGCCAGCATCAGATTGGGCAGATCAAAAATCAAAGTGAGTTGACAAGCATTTATTTATTTTATTTATCAATAGTCATTATTAACATGACCCTTCCCCTGCAATTTTAAGCACATATCAGTTTTTTGGAGAACATTGCGGGATAAGTTTTATAAGAAACAATGATTACTAATTGTTCATTTTTCTCCTTATTCCTTAATTCCCAATTGGCCACGATATTCACTCCACTGTTTGGTGTGCTTCGATCTGAAATTCCATTATTGTTCATTTGTCTCTTGGTGTCGCACTGTTGTACATCGCCGGAATCCAGGAAAAGGTAACAAGAAATAATAGATTTTTGTTGAATTTCTTTTTTTATTCTTTTTATTGTACGTGATTTTTAAATAATATAATATTTCACATTTAAATATGAATAAAATAATAAGGTATTATAATAAGAATACAATGATAAAGTTTATTAATTTATAAAATGAATAATCATAAGTAAATTTTTAATTATAATTTATATTAATAAATTTGTAGGTGAAATAAAACTATTTCCATTTCATCATTATTCTTATAAATATTATTCTTTCTGAAATAATAGCAATAGCAATCACTATTTTTATGTTATTTAATCAAACTATACACTTTTATATATAATGAATTTTACAATACATAATATTAATAATATTAACAGCAATATTAATATATTAATAGAATTTATTACAGCTATATCTTTTATGTTTTGTAAATTTTAAAAAAAATTTTATATGGATATATTCTGATACATTTATTTTTAGTAGTTAACTTCATGAATGATGGGCTTATTAATTTACAGAAAAATGCAAGCCGCTGCAGTAGCAGGCTCAGATCCTAATAAACAAAGGGAATATTTAAAGAAAAAGAAACAAAGAAAACTCCAACGATTTAAAGAACTTGAAGAGGAACGTGAAATGGAAAAAAATAAATGGCTAGCATTTACAAATAAGGTATTATTAATAAATAATTGAAATTTTCAATTACAAATTTCTAAATTATTAATTTGTTGTATTTTTTAATGTAGTCTTCAAAAAAAGGTGTAATTAAAAAAAGTATATTTGCAACGCCAGAAAATGTGAATGGTCGAGTCGGAATTGGTACTTGTGGCGTAAGCGGTCGAGAAATGACTAAATTTAGTAATGGTGAAAAATGGAGAAGAGGAGCATGAATGCTATTGTAAATATGAAATTTAATATTTCGTGAGATAGAACTATCGATTATTGTTATTATTACACTGAATTCAGTTTTGAAAAAGCTGAATATGTATGTTTTGTGTTGCAAGAATGTTTCTGAGTATATGAATGAAGTGTGTTTAGCGGTATTCATAGATTGTACGTAGATATTATGTTATGAATGAACAATGACCTCAAGTATCTGGAAGGTATTTGGATTTTCTACCTTTATGAAATGAATGATTGACGTGAATGAGTGTATTTCTAGATCAATACATTTATGTGGATATGATTTGTTTATAATCTGTAATGAATACGAATAAATGTATATTTTAAAGTCAGATAATGAAATTTTGAAATTATTTATTAAATCCTTTTATAGAAGATTATTTTAAAATTTCTAAATATATAAGTTATTTTTTGAATATTTGAATAATTATAAAATTATTTAATTGATAAATTTTTTGTGATTAAATAAATTATTTTTTATTTTGAAGCAATTAAAATGACAAATTAAATAGTATTATAATACGTTATAAAGATAAACTAATTACATCCTATACTATGCTTAAATAATTAAGTAAATATATATATAGTTTATGTCGTTAAAGAAATCAAAAATGGTCGCTCTGTTGTGGAATAACACGTCACCAGTAGGTGATATATTTGAGATGATAAGA